AATAGATTATCCGAAAATATTGAGTGATCATAGAACGATTTCGAAAATTATTAATGTAACACGGACTCAAATATTACATACCGAGTAATAATAAATTATTACAGTGATTTCATTATTATTCATTCGTACGTCATAGGAAAATTCTTTATACAATATATATAATAATTCATTCATTCTAATATAAACATTATTCTATTTTAACTGTTGAAATTTTCTTGCACTCATGTATAAAACAAAAATAGTTTGTTAATAAGGTAAGCTGTGCAAAAACATTAGATTTGTATAAAAATTTACTGCATAGCGCTTGCCCATGGTGGTATCATAGGCTGTGGATTTTGCAAGTAAGACATCACTACTGCCGATATCGACAGCATGAAGCAGCTGAGGATTTGCTTGGCGTCTTCGCTCACTCGCGTATTGGCAAAGCTGATGCAGGAACAGTAGAGCGCCACCCAGGAACACCATTTCAATCTCATCATTAGTCCGCACATGCTGAATATCATTCCTATGACGTTCATGTATTCTGGAGTCATGTCGTCTTGCATATGTAACTGATTATTTGAACCCGGTGGCTTGTAGCGAACTTCTTTATCCGGTCGCCTTGGGTCTGTCGAGCTATTCATTTTGAATATCTGCAATATGAAATATCGATGCTAAATATAACTTTGTTATTCCCTACAAAAGAATTAATTAACATTGTAACATATAATCGTTATTATTGTAATACATACATAATTATTTTTCAAAGCAATTTCTATTTTAATAAATTAATACCTCTATGTACGTCAAATCCATAAAATTTTATTTTATCAAGAGAGGTTATCATGTCAGTCAATTATTTTCAAATGTAACTTAATTTAAAATACTAATTAATAAACACAGTAATTTATAGGATGACAATAACACACTTACGTGTCACTTGAATGATGTACTATGTAAACAATTATTTAAATGACTCCACACAATTCGATCAGCGACAACGAGTTGCGCTGAGTTATCACAAATGTCACAATTCACAACTGGCAGAAATTTCAGGTTAGAAAAGAGAGCCAGAATCGCTGGAAAGTAAACGCGAGACTCGCAGCGCCGCGCGCGACTGGTGAGCAAAGCAGCGTAAAACCTACGTTACTGACACACCGTCGCGGAGGGAGAATCCCGACCATAAAAAGTGAGCCTTGTCTACGAGACGAGGCTGCGCGCTCGAGCCTTGGCTTTGCTCTCGGCGATTGTCGGTGGACGGCGTCGCGAAAAAAAGTCCGTTCCGTTTCCGCGCACGCGGCAGGTCGCGTCGTCTGAGTCGTCTCTCCTGTATCGTGTTAATCTCATGCACGCGGGATGAGCGTTTAATCGCGCGCGTGCGGCGCCAGCGAGAGCAAGCAGGCACGAGCGAGCGAGCGAGAGAGAGGAGAAAGATGTCGAAAGTCGCTGACAGACAGAGCTATGCGCAGCCCTACAAGCTCGTCGTCGTGGGTGGGGGCGGTGTCGGAAAATCGGCGATCACGATACAATTTATCCAAGTAAGTTTCCAAGTTTATTCCAAGTAAGATTTGTTTTCGCCATCGCCAGTTCTACATGGATGAACGATAATCTACTTTGTTGATCTGTCATAGGATCGATCGAATTCGCATTTCGATTCAATGCGCAGAAGCGTTTCCTCGCGTCTCGCAGATCTCGCGTATTCGACGGGATTTGATTATTTGAATTTCCCTTTCTATTCGAAAAGCGTCGCGTTTACCCTCATTGTTTCGAAATGCGATCTCCCGTGCTTTCGGAAACCTTGATTATCGTTCGACACGTTATCGAATGCTTGTTGGAGATAATTAAGTCAAGGTGACAAAATAATAACGGGGAGAAGAGGAAGTGTATTTGTGAAATTCGTAAGCGAGATATCGTCGCGTTACGTTTGATGAAATGAGAAAACAACAGTTGGGATGAGTTGGGCATTATTATGTCACAGCTCGTACGCAATCGTCATATATGGTCATATACGCGGCAGCGCCGTGGCGCGTCGATTCTAACGAAACCTCGAATGTGTACGTGCGTGCTCCGCAAGGGGGCGGAAGGGGGCATGACGCGTTGTTAGTAGTCGTCGAGTTGATGGACGTAATCGACGAGATAGTATTAAAGACTGTCAACTCTGGGCAAATTTTCGTCGGTATAAAAAGGGCTCCAAGGGCCCGGAGGTGATTAAAGAACGCTGATATTATCGACAATTTACTGATGTAAATTTGCTATTATTAACATAAATATTTAGCTCATACATCATTAAATTCATGATTTTTGATTACATGTTCTATAAATAAATGTGCATACTTGTAAGCTATAATATTCTACGTTTTGCAGAAAAATTACAATTTTTTCTCTGCAGTTATCATCTCTGTTGATAATCAAACTTTGATGATAGCACTGAAATCACAATTTTAAAGAAAAATCGAGTATTATTGAGTTCTAAATGCATAAATACATCTACTAAACTAATAAATTATAAAATTAATACAATATTATCAGTTTTTAATTCTTAATTACTTCAAAGATGTCAACTCCCGTAAGGATGTCGGTCTTTAATAGTATCTCGTCGGTGATAGACGTAATCGATGAGATACTATTTTTATTAATTGTCGGTAATGTCATTGTTCTTTAATTATCTCTAAGCCCCCGCGGCTCCATCAAATGTAACTCGTCGATAATTAGCAAATATGAGAGATGTTTAAATTTTTTGTGATTTCTACTAAAAAAAAATATAATTACTCGTATTCTTCTTATCTTGAACTGTTCAAAACTTAGCTTACACGAGCTAAGTTTTGAACAGACCTGATTTAAAATATCCCTCTCAAGTGGAAATTTTTTTTACAATTTTTTATGTAATTTTTTAGTGTTTATATAATTTCAAAATTTTTAAAATTTCTATTTAACTTTATAACTTTTTAGAAAATATCTTAAATTTTTTATATTGAAACATTTCAGAAATCTAGATTTTCTAAAATTTTTCATATGTATGAATTTTGAAATATTCTACAAGATTTCAAAGATTTTTTATTTTGTAATTTTTAAAGAAAACTTACAACTCTGAAAAAGTTTATGATTTAAGGTACTTTTTTGGAGATTTTTATGTAAAGTACAACAAATTTTAAAAAATATGAGATATGAAATTTTTCCAGAGACACTTAAACACATGATGAAATATATGAAATTATAATGTAATGTACATTCTATATACACTGTAGTTTACAATTTTTTTCAGAGTTATTTCGTGACCGATTATGATCCAACAATCGAGGATTCTTATACGAAGCAGTGCGTTATCGATGATGTGCCAGCTAAACTCGACAGTAAATGATTAATAAATCTATCTATATTTATTTTAAACCTTATTTTTATTTTTACTCATATATATTTTTAAATCTCAAATAAATCTAATTAATTCTGATCATCAATCACAAGTTCATTCACGTTTATTTGCTTCATCTGAACCTGATTTAATTTAGAATCAAATATCATATCGAAACTATATTTATGTGTAGTATTGGACACTGCTGGCCAAGAAGAATTTAGTGCAATGCGTGAACAATACATGAGAAGCGGCGAAGGATTCCTCCTCGTGTTTGCCGTCACTGATCACTCGTCTTTCGACGAGATATTAAAGTTTCACAGGCAAATACTTCGGGTAAAGGATCGAGATGAATTTCCTATGCTGATGGTTGGAAATAAAGCAGATCTGGACCATCAAAGGAGTGTAAGTTTTGTTAATAAATTAACAGCTTAAATTTTATTTCGGATATTTCTTTCTATAGAGAATAATAATTGTAATTTTATATATTTTTATTTCCTCACATTTTCCTAATCCATTTAAATCTTCATTTTAGGTATCAATTGAGGAGGCACAGAATATGGCACGTCAATTGAAGATTCCATACATTGAGTGTAGCGCTAAGCTACGGATGAACGTCGATCAAGCTTTCCACGAGCTGGTGAGAATCGTCAGAAAATTTCAACTGTCGGAACGGCCACCACTAAAACCAAATTACAAGAAAAATAAGAAGAAGTGTTGCATGCTGTAATAACAAAACTATTTATTCTGACGGATTTATCATACTTGTCGGGTTGTATTTTTGATAAATTCAAGAAAAAAGATAATGATAAATTCAAAACTGCACAAAAAGATATAAATTTTTTATATATTCTTAGGAAATAATTTACATTTCCACGAAAATATAAAATTTTTTTCATGTTTAGAATTGGAAATAACGCGGATTTTGATGTTGATTATATATTGATATATTATATGTTGATAAATTAAATTTTAGGTCAAATTTATTCGTAATGATAATGCAGACAAGGTCTTACCAACATCATCAATATTGTTTTGTGCCGATTACGATAACGTAATTATTTATAATGCGACAGAAAATAATTTTTGGCATTTTTTGCATTCTGTCCAATTTATAATTTATAGAATAACGAAAAATAGCTTTCATTCTATATATGGTAGGTCAGTTTTCGCATTGCACAAATATTAAACGCAATAGCCCAATGATAAATAAACTATTTTTGTAATAAATTTTACTAGGAAAAAAATCTATAAATTACTATTACCGAATGAAAGTTTAAAACAGTTTATAATTGTTATTTATAATGTGACGTATTGCTTAAGATATTATAGAGCATATTATGATATAATTGGATTTAACAGTGAACAACAGCACACGGCTCCTAGGGTCACACATTTGTTTTTGTTCGCTGCTTATCGTCTGGTAGATTAATGATCTCGAATTGCAGCAAAACACAATTTACAAATTGAAACAAATAGAGAAAGAGATTTTACTTTATAACAACACAAGTTCACATGACAATATAGACTTGTATGACCAACATTTTGAAATACAAAGGAAATATTTTTTTTCATATAATTAAGAACAAGATAATTATGATTATGAAATGTAGGATATGCTTTTGCTCTTCACCTCTTAAAAAAAAAACTTCAAAAACAGTTGAAATACTTTATTTTTATTCACACATATGAGTCAATGGCTAGCAATATACATATATCCGATATCATATTGATGTATATGATATCCGAAAAAATGCATCAGAACAGTTGATATAAAAATTTTATAATGACAAAACTTAAATACTCTGTATTCAGCCACTTATCGAAAATACTCCTGCTATTATTAGCAGCGTTCTAACTCTTCCTCTTCCTTTAGGTTGAGTCATAATGTCTAATTGCGAAAATCAAAGTAACACAGTAATATTGGCAAACAAACAAATTAATCGAGTAAATAATATTTCTATTCGAATTATGTTCATCAGAATTGTTCAAATTATTTAGAGTTACCTCTATATTTACACGTAGCACTTTGTGGTTGCAATTTTTAAGTGCAAATTATAATAATAAAATCAGAATGGGGCCAATAACATTTTTAATGCAGATGACCTTGTAATTAACAATTATAATAATTAATGTCTTAATGCTATATACTCCACAAGTTCTGATTAGCACGTTGCGACCCTAATTTTGATGTTAATAAAATTAATGGTTTTTATATTTACTTACATATTTTTCTTATATTGATAATTAATTATCGATATAAATATATTTATAATTGATAATTAAATGTCTTCCAATATAGTTATGCTTTAAATGTATGTAATTTTAACGATATTTTAATCCTTTCTAATTCTTATAAAATAAAGAAAAAATGAAAATTATAAATATAAAAATTTTACCTTTTGTGCAAACTAAATTTGTTTTTGTTTATCTGTTTATTGAGTGGTATTTGTAATAATGTGATGCGATGTCAAAAATTGTTAAAAATGCTATATTTGTGGAGATATGAAAATGTGTTCAGCTAATTTCGGTTTCACCAACAATGAGAAATATTTTTATCTTGTTCGACTTTTTCAGTATCACGACAAAATTCGACAAAGTTCGTTGCTGGTGATACCGAGATGTGTACTAATAATAATACTAATAATAATAATATTAATAGCTTTAATATATCTGTATAACGTAGTTAATAATTATATTACACAATATATATATATATAAGCTTACGGAACGCGATACTTTCTGAGAAATTACAAAATTTTGCAATGATATGATATTATACTTAATATTAATAATTTATTTGAATGTTACAAAATGTATTTTACAAAATGTTACTTGTAACATTCACAGAACTCCAAGAATCAAATAAAAAATTCCATTTATTTTTGTAACTGAGTATATTTGTATGTTTGTAAAAATAATGTCTATAGCGAACTGACTTTTAGGTTCAGTCTATGTCTATTAACTTCTGTAAACCAAATAATATGAATATAAATAATTGTTATTATGTTCTTTTTGGAATTCCCAATCTCCCAATATTATTTCATTTTTTAATATAAGTATGTATTTTACGTGCAAA